CCCCCCCCCCCAGCATATCCTGGTTTTCAAGTACCCCAGCAGAGATAGGGTTAACAATATTTTCCGATTTTTTAAAGTTACCGCTAGTTAGCGATTTCAATTTTATTTACGGCGTTAACGGAAACTTTTCAACAACCGTTAACGGCTCTGGCCCTTAACAGTACCGCTTATGAAATCGTTAACGGTTGTGAACACAGAAGACAAAATTAAAAACATCAAAACACGTAATTTTTTCAAAACAGGCTTATCCGTTTTCTTAACAGAATTTTGCCCAGCCCTACTTCCCTATAAAGTAGTTATAAATAATTCTTCTTCTAAAGACAAAGATCTTCATATCGTTTCTGAATTACATTGTAAATTGAGTTTTTTATGTATTGAAAATGTTCTTGTTCTTGTTATTTTCTTGAAAACAATTATTGATCTTTAATGTGACGCCCCTGCTGACATTACGTTTGTGACGCCCCTGCTGACAAAATGTTTAATGTGACCCCCCTGCTGACATTATGTTTAATGTAACGCCTCTGCTGACATTATGTTTAATGTAACGCCCCTGAAGACATTATGTTTAATCTCAAGTCAAAATATAACAAAATGAGAAACTTAAAGATAAACTAATCCCCTCTTTTCCTTGGCAACTTGATAGCGTATCGATCGTCGAGCTTTGATAATTCAAACCATAATTGTATGAACTAGAAGGGAGATACAACTTACGCGGCCCGCCTTACCTTATTGATCATACATTCTTAGCTTCTTTTCCATACTCCTTGGTTGCAAAGAAATAGAGATACTTACATATGATTTTGTGAGAAGTGATCAGTTCTTTTATCTTGAGAAGTTTGTCTCACATTAACTTTATATTTAGGCTGGTCTTGAAGTTCATCAGTTCTGGCCTTTGGTAAAAATTGAGTGTTCACCTGATCTTAGATTCTTTCTTTGCTCCATGTACACCCCTATATGTATAGATACATATCCTAAGGTTAGTTGTATAGTTGTATATATAGTACATGTACAATGTACACCCCTATATGTATATATACATATCCTAAGGTTAGTTGTATAGTTGTATATGTAGTACATGTACAATGTACACCCCTATATGTATAGATACATATCCTAAGGTTAGTTGTATAGTTGTATATGTAGTACATGTACAATGTACACCCCTAAATGTATAGATACATATCCTAAGGTTAGTTGTTTTTTTGTATATATATAGTACAAGTACAATGTACACCCCTATATGTAAAGATACATATCCTAAGGTTAGTTGTATAGTTGTATAGTTGTATATGTAGTATATGTACAATTTGTACACTCCTATGTATAGATACATATCTTAAGATTAGTGGTATATGTAGTACATGTACAATCTACACCCATATATTTATATATATATCATTGGATTAAAATTAATAAAAGAAAGTAACCAAAAAAAAATAAAAAAAACGTTTAATCTTTTCTATATTTTCTATTAATAAATACAAATTCACATTAAAATAAACAAGATAAATAACTTAAATCAAAATCAAAAATAATTCTTTTAATGTTCAGCCTTTGCCCGCTTGTCGGTCAGTGTGTGAGCGGGCAAAGCTTGGTTGTTTACCAGTCATGCAGAAATATGGCTTCGAATGGCCGAGTAGGTTAGGATTTTTAAAACCATTTAAAACTATTCCATTATTCGAAATTATAGTGTGTGACAGCTTTAGTGGTCGGCGATTATATCAATACAATAAAGACACATTTTTATTAATAAGGCTTTGATCCCTAACAAGCAATGTTCAAATTACAAGTTTACAAGCAAACGAAGAGAAACTGTTATTTGACAACTCCTCTTTTTAACATGTACATATGTGTCTCTGCTGTTTGAAAGATTGGTAGAAATCAAAATTGAAATTTGTTGTTTTGATATATACGAAGACGACTGAACTTATCAAATATTTTTTTTATGTAAAAGACCAAACTTTATCCCTGATGGTGGTTTTTAAGATCTCATTCTGAGTTCGGAGGCAAATCTAAAACCTGGATTATCACATGTAATTTTCTAAACCATGTCTTTTTTAAAAGTGTAGTAGAGATGAATAATTTATTGATAATTCGCCCCAAACCCTGATTGTTTATCTTTATAACGTGATTGCGTAGACATTTGAACTTTGAATTCTGCTAAATGTGATATTCAAAGTTTGAAATGACAAAGGTCACCACCATCAGGTTCTCTAAATATACTGATTTGAGTGATAACCTATTGTTTAGTTCTTAATATAAAAAATAACTGCCCTTTAATTCAAAATTTTAGAAAATATCTGTAATTGTAAAATATTATAGAATGTCTTGTTCCCTACTTCCTGAGTATGGTGGGAAGGAACTATGTATGGATGCCCAGGTAACAGTTTTAGTTTTTGCCACAAACTCTGATATTTCAAACTTGAAATTCTGTCATACACGTCAAACTAAGGTAAAAAGATTGAAGTTTTATATTTTTTTAATCATACTCTATAGAGAAGAAAAATATTCAAAATTTCTGTCATATCACCAAATTAATTGTCTTTTCTACGAGGTCGCAGAGTCGTACCCATAGATAAAGATAGATTGTGCATAAGACGACATTTTTCATCTTAAAAGATATAAATGTACAGAGATGTTTTAAATATATTCCTATTATATAGATTACCTAGGTCGGTTGTGAACATTGGCTGTTCTTATGTCATTGCGTACTTGTGGTGTACATGAGTTCTGTAGAGAGAAATTCAAATTAGTTTAGTCCTTCTCATGTCCTTCTTCAGTTCTCGTCAATATGATATATTGCTCAGTGAAATATTGTTGTTCAAATAGTTCCATTCCCGGAGTTATTTTACACTCTATTATGAAATCCATTAAAACACCAAACCACCCCGCTTATCATTGAAGTACACTTAGAAGTATGAGTTCGCGGACTGTGATTTTGCGTACATAAGCTATCTATGTTTTTTTATTTATCTATGGTCGTACCAGTGATGTCGCTTAAATGTCACCTACTAAGTAAGAAATAACGTTTAAACCATCAGGTTGAACAGATACAGGAAATAGAAAATTATATTTTATGGGAAAAATAAATAAATTCCTTTATAGTTCGGAATTTTTTATTTAATTTTTTCTGATTGCTTTTCATTTAAACCTTTATTAAATTATTACAATGTATAAAATAAACATTGTGTATTACAACTGAAAAAATGTTCATGCACATTATTTTTATATTTTTTTAAAACAATTTTTTTTTTTGAATCTTGAATCTTAGAAAATTGGATACAATTGATACAGACAAATTCTGATTTGATTCTTCTTCTTGTCATCATTTCTCTCGTTTCTTTTCTTTTCCTTCAGTTGACTGTCCCTGATTCTAATTATTTTGAAGGAAAATACATATTTGCTGAAACAAGTATGTACTGGGACACTCTCCTCCCTTGTAGATGTAGTAATTTTCAGTTTTATTGTCGAACTCAAGAATGCTTGACTTGACAAGCTGATTGAAGGTTAATGTAGTGCTGATTCAGCTTCAACCCATACTTCGTATATATTTTCTGAAATGGAGAAGATGAAATGAGGGAGGGGGGGTAGGTCTCTCAGCCCTATCTCAAATGATTTCTCCATTCACAAACGGGAAAAAAATTGATGGTGTAGAACTGATCATAGGAGGGTTCCCTTCAATTTTTCTTGTTCAATTTTCTTTTTTCTTCTTGTTTCCTGTTTGTAGGTTTCTGCAATTTTACTTTGCGTTCCTTGTCTAGAAATAGAAAATCCCTGCTTTCCTCTGATTTTTAATTGTTTTCGACTCTGTGGAATTAAAGGTCTTTTCCCATTGGAGTTGCACCGCATTACAAAATGGAGATTCTTCTTTCTATTGTTCTATTTTTTCTTGTTTCTGGTGAGCTGTAATATATTTTCTTAGTTTGTTTTCAAGGTGTGGGGCAGCCATGTTAATTTTAACCAGCGCTCCATAATTGAATACTCCCTGGCTACTTAAAGCTCTGCATTTCTATGAACTTCCGTGCTGAGGCCTGCCCGCAACTGCAAAATTTTTAGAAAATAAAAGAACAAAAATAATTCCATTAACCCTCCTTGGTTGCAAAGAAATAGAGATACTTACATATGATTTTGTGAGAAGTGATCAGTTCTTTTATCTTGAGAGGACAGGTAGCTGAGTGACCGGCCCCCTCGAACCCTCCTACCCCCCTGTTCACCCTCTAACTAGCTGCTAGACAGACCCACTCAGTACTTCGTAGTCAGTTTGTACCAACCTTCCATCTTATAGTTAAAAGATTATAAGCATAAGGAAATGTAGTGTTTTATACTATAATTGGAAAAGTGATCAGTTCCCAAAAGTGACTTTACTATTGACCTAGAGGAAAAAGTTTTGATTGCTCATTTTTGTGATGATTAATTGATGTCTGCAGTGAAAAGAGTAGCTGTGATAGATAGCTAAATATAACCAGGCCTCGAAACACCACCCTTAGTAGCAGGAAACAATGATAACTTTAAACCAAATATTCGCTGTACTCCATCTTCAAGCTGTTGTACACCATGTACAGTGTACTCAAGAGTGCCAGGAGATAACAATACCAATGTGTAAAGATATTGGGTATAATTCAACTAGACTTCCAAATCAATTCAACCATAAAACACAGGACGAGGTATGATTTAGATTAATATATAATTTGTTTGGGGGTTTTATATATGTTGCATTTGTTTATCTCGCAAGGATAAAGATTTTTTTTCATATCATTAATGCAATTACAATTAATCGAGTGTTTCTTTTATTTGCAAATATGTTTTCCACGAGAACTGCGAAACACTATTCAACGTATTCTCAATAAATGTCGTAATATAATTCTTAATTATTCTTATATTTTGCTATATTCGGCAGGATTACTATAAGTATAAGGATTCAGATTATAAAACTAGATTTTGCGATAAAAAATTCAATTTTCGCAAATTTGCAAATTTTTTTGCAGATTCTAAAAGTAGAGCACAAGAGCTTTCTAATGATGTATCATTTGTCATATTTGGACATAAAACATGGGATTTAGAGGGGGGGTCAAATTGACCCCCCCCCAGCGTATCCTGGTTTTCAAGTACCCCAGCGGAGATAGGGTTAAATGCTTACATAGCTTTTTGTACAATGAATCACAGTTTTAGATTTGCAATTTATTTCAAGTACATTAATTCAGAAATATGTTCTTAATCGCCAACTAAACCATAACAATACACTAATATATTACAGTATATAGAAATAAAAAAGATATACCAATATAAAAATGTATCTTGTCAGGCCCAGAACCCTCAGGGTGCAGGACCCCTAAGCCGTCCCTCTAGTAGAGGTCTACCAGGGACTTCTCCACCACCACCACCAGGATACCTGGGACAGGAGACAGAGTGTTCATGTTCTGCATGTGGTAGTATTCCACAGGCATATCCAGGCAACAATCTAGTTCAACTTAGGTTTGTTTTTACAAGATTTTATGCTATTTTTTTATTTACAACTTAATATTTACAAACTTGCTTCCACGTGTTTCTATAGTTCCACGGGCAACGCCAGGCCCTTCAATATTCAAATCAAATCTTAAGTATTAAAGAGAATGTTATATAAATAATATTTATTCATCTTCAATTCATTATCTCACACAAATTTTGAATCCTTAAAGTAATACATGTTATTTCATTTTTATATTAGTTTAAAATGGAATATAGTTATTCTTTGATTTTCAGTGGTAGGCGATCATATCAATACAATGAAGATGACTTTCGATTTAGATTTGGATTGATATATCAAGCTGGTAAGAAGCATTGATACACATAATCCTATAACTTAGTAGTCAAGAGAAGCTGTCAATTAAAAAATCTTCTCTTTGTCTACTTGTAATTCGAAAAAAGCTTGTTAACAATTAAAACTTAAATTAAGAATTCATCTTTATTGTATTGATATCACCAGTTCAGTTTAGTTCAGTTCAGTAAAAAAATAACGATGGACAAAAAACTCGGATCGTTGAAACGAACTTTGAAAAACGCACTGAAGATTTTACTTACCAATACTGGAGTGAGGAAACGAATAAAGTAGATGGAAAATGAACGAAAGTTTTGAGAACGAACGATTGAACAAAAAACGAGTGATGAACGAACGAATAAAAAAAAACGAGCCCATCTGTTTAAAACACTTAGTTTTTTATCTTCGGGTTGAAAGAAAATGTATTCATAATTTCTAAAAAATGGAAAGAATTATAACAAAATGTATCAATGCCTTTCTTAGTTTTTCTAGTATCGCTAATATCAAAATTTATAAATGTACTCTATTTAATTTCTAGACCCGGGAACCCTCTATTTAACCAATCTATCAGCTGGGCTGGACAACCAGACTGTTCTGCCCCCTGCTACTCACCATTCTTTGGGACTCAGGACAGGTACAATTTTGGTACTTAAAGGGAGTGTTCGCGAAAAATGAAAGGGGGTATAGGCTTACGGCGATAAATAATCGCTTTTGATCGCTACTAATCTTCCTTCTATCTGTTACGTCTATAATGAGAAAATTGTTAAAAACGCCTCATACCGAAGAACGTAGATTCCTTACAAATTCAGAAAGTTGCAACATACAACTCGGATCGTAACAAAATCAATTTAATTTCAAACAAATCATTCATATATTACAACTTATAGTCATAGATATTTTTTGGACGCATTTGTATATAGTTAATATTTCATAATATTTTTTTCTTCCTATGATTGACTTTTAAAAACATTTATTCCTATTTCGAGGATTTTGAAAATGATGACGACATTTTCCATATTTTGTGAAAACAAGTTGTAAGCGAAATATTAATTTTAAAAAACACAAAATAAAAAATTTTATGAAATATCAACTATATACAAATGCGTCGAAAAATAATCGATGACTATAGGATTTAATATCTCAATTATTTGTTTGATAGTAATTTTATTTTTTTACGATCCAAGTCGTATGCTCCAACTTCCTCAATTTGTATGAACGCTTCGTTCTTCGGTATGAGACGTTTTTAACAATTTTCTCCATAAAGACGCAACAGATAGAAGTAAGATTAGTAGCGATCAGAAACGATTACTTATCGCCGTAAGCCTATACCCCCTTTCATTTTCGCGAACACTCCCTTTAAATTTGCCGCTTATCCTTGGTTTTCGCTATAAGTGTATAACGGTATTTTTGTTTGCAGAGAGTTTGCTGAACTATGGTTAACAGTATGGAGTGTGGTCTGCTGCGTGTCTACTTCGATAACTATTGCAACATTTCTATTAGATCCTTCCAGGTATTTTTATAAAACCTTTATCAACACTGTCCCTTTGACAGTATTCCCACTTGAAACCACTTCTAAATTTGGACTGTTAGCATTCCCACTTGAAACCATTTCTAAATTTGGAAATATTTATACTAGAACTTTAAATTTGAACCTAAACATCCTAGGCCTTCTTCAGGCCCGTAGCCAGGATATTTCCAGGCCGCAAAATGGCGCGACGCCGGCGAATTATTTTTTTAAGCAATGCTTGGTTTGTTTTTACAGTTTTTAACAAATGTATTTGAGCTTTTAAGGGTTACATTTTAGTGTCTGAAACTTTTCAGTTTACATATATTATACAATAAACATAAAAAATAAATGAATGGTACTTTAGCTTAAGGAAAAAATTCATTACTTAAAATCAAGGCTTCTTGTCCCTCGGCCTCATCATGATAATATGAAGATGAATAAAAAATAATACTAATTTCTAATATTTTGTTTAAAGGTGTTTATTTATATTGACATTGAGACATTGAGACATTCTTAGTGAATAGATTAAAATTTGGTTTGGGAAGGAAATCAATTCTTACTCGGGCTATATAATTAATAACAATAACTAGATTTTAGAAAATTATGAGAAACAATTTCTTTTATGTGGGACTGGGGGGGGGATGCAAATTCGTCATTGCACCCCCCTTTCAGAAGAAATGGGGGTGCACCTGTCCCCTTGCACCCCCCTGGCTACGGGCCTGCTTCTTCTGAACCCTTTTTAACTTTCTGATAAATTAATAAATTGATTGATTGATTGTTCCAGGTACAACTATCCTGAGAGAAGTATCATGTATCTCTCAAGCTGCTACTTTCTCATCAGTGTTGGATTCATTATCAGAATCATTGTCGGGCACCAGGTGGGAAATAATTATCTAGATAATACATTTCTTCCCTCATTTATATGTTCGCTATATATGGTGCAAACTGCTGGACCAAATTTGTTGAAATTTAACGAAAGAACCCATGGAAACCAAAGGGGTGACGGAGGCTATTTTTTTTTTAAATTCTACGGGCAACGGCGAGCACTTTAGCTAGTTATTTATAAACAGAGTGCTCTTATTTGGTAAACACTTAAATACAGGAATAAGAAAAGCTGCAGGGCCCACTCACTAATATTAAATATATATATAGACTGTATCCTGCAGCCTACAGAATCCACTGTCTAAACGTGGATACAACAATCTACTGGTTTCAAGAGCAAAAATTCCCAACATGTATTCAGGTAATCTTTTTTAAAGTTGGAATTACTGTTAATAATTCTTAGTTAACATCAAGATGTTTAAAAAAAACATTATTGTGAGCATGGCAGCTCTTGTGTATATATGTCTGTTGTCCATGTTAGCAGTAGACCGCCACCGTTTCTACTTTCTAACCAAGACGAGATATACGTTGGAAGACAAATATATGCTTCTGACGTGGCAAAGAAACCCTGACCTAACCCAGATCTAGTCTGGGTCCGGGGCAACGGTTTTTTTTAATGCACAAGGTGGAAGACTCGGCGAGAATTAAACCGAGATGTATAGTTTTCAGCTCGCCGAACAAGCAGATCAGAGAAGACAAATGAGATTCGTCCGCCATTCGAGGCGGAGCATTCTGACTAGTTGTCTTGGTTCCTCATAATTGAATTTTTTACCATTTTTATTTTATTTTTTTATCAGTCATTATTTTGGTGTACCATGCTGCTTATCTATTCATTTCAGTTTATAAAACCCAATTTGATCCGTTTTTATCAGCTATATTATTTTTAGAATGCATGGTTTTATTGCAATATATATGCATAATGCATTTTTTAATGAGTATTAGAGAAAAGTTATTTTAAACGTGTCTTAAAATATCTGCTTTTGCCATCACATCCAGCTGACTTAGTTTCGTCATTTAAAATTGTGTGTTGATGATGGACCAAAGACGATGTTAGTTCAACATTTTATCGAAAATATGTTCGGTCTGGGTTGACACTCGCCAATTCTTAATATATAATAAAAATAAAAATCATTAATTAAAAAGGTTTAAAAAAACAAGAAAATGAACAAACAAAAAAGCCTTTTTTATGGAAATATAGGGAAACGTACTCGAATCAAGATATGTAAAAAAATTTGTAAATATTCATGTTTTAAAGAACTTTAAGACAATTATTATTCCTTGACATTGTTGGTTTAATTATTTGTGTTTCTGACAAAATACGAAAAATATGAAATATGAACATTTTAGTATAATTTAATGAATGATATTAGATGAGGATGAGGTAGTCTGCACCCTGGTGTTTGTACTGATCTATCTCTTCAGTATGTCCAGCTCTCTTTGGTGGGTCATTCTCACCTTGACCTGGTTTCTTTCAGCAGGTAGACAGGCGTCTCTATAATTATACAGATTTTTAGACTTTATTCTATAATTATACAAATTTTTAGATTTTGCTTATAGGCTTCTCTGTAATTATGCAAGTTTTAAACTTAATAGGCGTCTCTGTAATTTTACATATTTTAAACTTTTCAAGGGGTTTCCATAGGTAACACAGAATTTTAGATTTTTAATGTGTGTTTGTGAAAATTGAAAAATGTTTGATTGAACAGAATTTTGTTCTTTTTTCCGATTGCACAAAATATTTTTAGAACATTTTTTAGTCTTAGACATTAACAAAGTAGTCATGATGATAAATAAAATGAAATTTTTTTTTTTGTAAATTTATTTTTGGATAAACTCTATTTTGTTTTTAGGTTTGAAGTGGGCCGAGGAGTCTATATCCAAGTACTCCATCTGGTTTCATGCTGTAGTGTGGGGAGTACCTCTTATACAGACTACAGTTCTACTCCTTATATCAGGAGTAGAGGGAGATAATGTAGCAGGTATAGACAGATATGTTGAATGTTGACTTTATATCTGGAGTAGAGGGAGATAATGTAGCAGGTATAGACAGATATATTTATTGTTGACTTTATATCTGGAGTAGAGGGAGATAATGTAGCAGGTATAGACAGATATATTTAATGTTGACTTTATATCTGGAGTAGAGGGAGATAATGTAGCAGGTATAGACAGATATGTTTAATGTTGACTATATATCTGGAGTAGAGGGAGATAATGTAGCAGGTATAGACAGATATATTAAATGTTGACTTTATATCTGGAGTAGAGGGAGATAATGTAGCAGGTATAGACAGATATGTTTAATGTTGACTTTATATCTGGAGTAGAGGGAGATAATGTAGCAGGTATAGACAGATATATTTAATGTTGACTATATATCTGGAGTAGAGGGAGATAATGTAGCAGGTATAGACAGATATATTTATTGTTGACTTTATATCTGGAGTAGAGGGAGATAATGTAGCAGGTATAGACAGATATATTTATTGTTGACTTTATATCAGGAGTAGAGGGAGATAATGTAGCAGGTATAGACAGATATATTTAATGTTGACTTTATATCTGGAGTAGAGGGAGATAATGTAGCAGGTATAGACAGATATATTTATAGTTGACTTTATATCTGGAGTAGAGGGAGATAATGTAGCAGGTATAGACAGATATATTTATAGTTGACTTTATATCTGGAGTAGAGGGAGATAATATAGCAGGTATAGACAGATATATTTAATGTTGACTTTATATCAGGAGTAGAGGGAGATAATGTAGCAGGTATAGACAGATATATTTAATGTTGACTATATATCTGGAGTAGAGGGAGATAATGTAGCAGGTATAGACAGATATATTTAATGTTGACTATATATCTGGAGTAGAGGGAGATAATGTAGCAGGTATAGACAGATATGTTTAATGTTGACTATATATCAGGAGTAGAGGGAGATAATGTAGCAGGTATAAACAGATATGTTTAATGTTGACTATATATCAGGAGTAGAGGGAGATAATATAGCAGGTATAGACAGATATATTTAATGTTGACTATATATCAGGAGTAGAGGGAGATAATGTAGCAGGTATAGACAGATATGTTTAATGTTGACTATATATCTGGAGTAGAGGGAGATAATATAGCAGGTATAGACAGATATGTTTAATGTTGACTATATATCAGGAGTAGAGGGAGATAATGTAGCAGGTATAGACAGATATGTTTAATGTTGACTTTATATCTGGAGTAGAGGGAGTTTCAGGGAGATAAAGCATATTTGCTAAGTATTAAAAGTATATTTCTTCAATAATTTTGTGAAAGAAATTTTTGATATTTTTAGGAATTTGTTATGTTGGGAGTAGAAATCCGAGTACTATGCTTTTCTTCATTATCCTACCCCTCACATTATACTTGATCATTGGTAAGTATTTTCTTCATTATCCTACCCCTCACATTATACTTGATCATTGGTAAGTATTTTCTTCATTATCCTACCCCTCATATTATTCTTGATCATTGGTAAGTATTTTCTTCATTATCCTACCCCTCACATTATACTTGATCATTGGTAAGTATTTTCTTCATTATCCTACCCCTCATATTATTCTTGATCATTGGTAAGTATTTTCTTCATTATCCTACCCCTCACATTATACTTGATCACTGGTAAGTATTTTCTTCATTATCCTACCCCTCACATTATCCTTGATCATTGGTAAGTATTTTCCTTGTTTATTTCTCAAACAAATGTTTAATTGAATTTTCTATTCAAATTTTACAATTTTAGATAAATATTTTTATAAGATATTTTCTTTTTTGTTTAGGCATTTCTTTTCTTTCTGGAGGTTTTATCAGTCTGTTCAAAATCAGGTAGTTTTTTTAAATTTAGCATTTGAATTATTAATTGCATTAATAAAGATGCATGTCGAATATTTATTAATTATTACTTGATAAATCAAATTAAAACGATTAATTCTAATATAAAGATATGTTTTTATCCATAAAATTAGATTTAATCACTTATATTTGAAATCGATAAATTATTTGGTTATTAATTAATAAGCGTACGTATAGGCGTGATTGATCACAAAAAATGAAATGATCATTTCTTGATTGAAAAATACTAAATAAAAATGGATACATTATTAATTTATTATTATAATTTATGGATTATTGACTGATCATTAAACTTGAATTTTGGACATATCAATGAACCTAGACTTATGATTTATTGATTAATGAACTCACATTGATGAATGAATTAATGAATTTAGACGAATGTTGCGTGAGGACGGAATTTACGAAACAGCGGATAAATTGGAAAAGTTTATAATAAAGATTGCTATATTCGGTATTCTCTACATAGCTCCTGTCCTTACTGTCATAGCTTGCTCCACATATGAGGTATAAATAGAAATCTTTAAAAATTTCTTTGAAAATAATTCATTAAATAACTTATTTACTGTAAAGAAAATGAGTTTTGCCTCAAACTCTAACTTTGTATTCCCTTTAACTGTGCAACCGGATGTGACAGCCTCTTGATATTTCAAACTGTGGATTCTGTTGGATCAAAGGCTTAAGTTTGAAATATCAAAGATTTACAACATCGGGTTGCACAGATATAGGGGTTAGAAAATTTGACTTTGTGGCAAAAAATCAGTTCCTCTAAACCTTGCCATTTTATTGGAGGTGTATATATCTACAATAGCTTCTTAGTTCATAATAGAAAAACGTTTAATATAGCCAAAGAGAATAGAATATAGATTAGAGTGGAATTTAGCAATCCCTCGGTATAAATTTGTCCATGTCAGCCTGAAAGGGAGTTCAAAGTGTACAAATCATGTAAATGTTCACAAATTATATGCAGTAGAGTAAATTAATACAGTATGTTCCCTAGACTATCCATTTTAATTTCAAATTTTTTAAAGTTGTTAAATAAACTTTATAAAATGAATTAGGTGAATAAAAAATCATTTGATTTATAGTTATATCGGAAAATCATCGTTTGTAAAGTGAAAGGCATACAGTCTTATGTGAAATGATCATTGGTCAATTATGAAACCAGCCTATTTCATAATTTGGTTTTCTTTTAATATTGATTTTAGATTTTCCATAAAATGATGTTCGTGGGCCCAAAAGATTATATAGCACAAATAAGTGAAGTACACCTGCAGTATGAAAACAGTACAACAAAATGGCAGTTTTTCACTTTTTTCTATTAAATTCCACTCTAATATATATTCTTTTCTCTATGAATATAGTTAGACTAACTGCCAATGAAAAAAATTTTAGAAATTCTGAAAAAAATTTAGTTAAAAATCTCTTATATTTATACTTTTTACTTTTTTTATGCAGCAAAAAATACCCCATTTTTTAAAATGATCGATCGAATTGTCTAGTTATAAATTCAAATACTTGATAAAGATCTTGCATTTCTTGCTTGTTTTTTGTAAAATTAGTATATTTTAGATAATCTTCGGCTTCTTCATCACGAAAATAATTTTAAGATATGAAAACAAATTCAAGAGTTTTTAGAAGCAAAGAAAAAGTTTAATATTTTTGGAATTATTTTTCTTTAAATGTTAACATAAACTTTTGATCTAAATATTAAAAACAAAAACAAATAATTTTAATCTTTTCTTCTGGCCTTCATATTTTCAAACTCTACTGAGGAAGTTATTAGTCAAGATTTTGGTCATATTTGAATATTATATTAGAACATTATATTAGCTATATTTAAAAAAGAACCGTTCAACTCTAATTATATAAGTTAGATTTTTGAACATCTTTACTTTTTGAGAAATCATTTTGCAAATGTAAAAAAAGTAAACTTTTTAAAGTTATGATTTGAAGTAATAAAACCTTTGAAAGTCTTCATGGATTCTTTGAAACTTATTCTGCTCTTTTTTTTGTTGAAATAGTAAATATGAAAGGTTGTTTCAAAGAAATTGTGATTAATTTTAAAACGATAATTATTTCATTTGCAAAATTTAAAATTTAACAATTTCTAACTGGTTTTCGACGTAACATGAATGACAATAAAAATAAACTTTTTCAAATTTTACAATTTTTGCTGTGTAGGCCTGGAATCTGTCAGCTTGGGAGAAAACTTATTCCTGCCGGGGCTGCCTGGTAAATTATTATTGTCATTTTAATTTTATTATTTTTTATTTTGTTATTATATTTATTGTTATATAGTTTAACCTTACACTTATTTTATTTATTTTTTGTTATAATCATTACTTGAGTTCTATTCAATTCATAGAATCGAAAGAATGACCGGATGGTTCAGGGAAAATTAAAAGCGAGAAAAAAAACAAATTAAAAAAATGGGATCAAGTTCGTCCTTAGAAAGTCTGTTGGCGCAATTTTTTATGCAGAAATTAACTTTCAACGTTTTTTAAGGTGGAATGCTATACTTAGTTAATTACTTTACCAAAAATCGAAATATTTTCGATCTTTAGAGAAATTCAAAAATAATTTAAATTTCAGAATAAGTCTGATGAATATTATCCAGATTTCTCGGTCTATATGCTCAAATATTTTATGCAGTTGGCAGTAGGAATAACGTCAGGTATAGCATGGGATTATTATTGTTTTCAAATTTATCATTACTAGAAATTCAAGGCGCTTCGCGCCCTTCTTTCTAGCCTTAGAGGGCGCTTCGCGCCCATCTTCTGAATTAATTGTAAACATGTTCTCTTTGTGTACATCGTAAAACTAAACAAAAATAATTCGCGGATTTTTACAAAAAATTTCGCGGATTTTCAAAATTTTAAAAAATTTAATGACGATCGAATTTTGATAGAGACAAATATTTGAAATTTTGATGATTCTTAAACCTTCCCTGGGCTCCCTAGATGTCCCACAAAAAATTTGGGACCGATCGGTTCAGCCGTTTTGACGTTTATTGGATACAAACAAACAAACAGACAAACAAACAGACAGACAAACAAGCCAAATTTATATATAGATTATCATTATTATTCAACTTTACAAAAAAATCTTTTTTTATTTGATTTTGCACAATTTTTAATTTCTAACTTTTAACTAAACAATCTTTTTTGCTCGTTAAAATTTGAGAATGCCACAAATAGAAGAAATTTATTTTTTATGTTTTCTTGATTTAGCTTTTTTCAGGGTTTTGGATTTGGTCGGGAAAAACAATAGACGCCTGGAGCTCATTATTATCCAAACTTTTTATTTTGAAACGGTTTAACAAAACTTTTTTTGGGAAACCCTCCCACCTTCCGCCCCTCCCTCCCCTCCCCCGAGTGATATATGGCCCGCCCACCCAGCAAGCAGGGGGCGGGGAGAACCATTATTCAACTATACCAAGGAGGCGAGTAGAAGAAGAAATTCATGTTTAATGAGAAACTCCGTTCCGGGAAAGGCTGTGATCTCAAAAAAGAAGAATATTTATTGTAAATATCTTAAAGGAACTGAGTTTTTGCCAATAATTCTGCTTTTCTAATCCCTGATTTTTGGGACTCGATGTCGTAGACTTGATATTTCAAACTATGAATTATGAAGTCTGAAATATCAACAGATTGTGAAGATATAAGGTTCAGAAAATGTGAGTTTGTGGCAAAAACTCAAATCCTTTGTTTGTGAGCTTGTTATTTTCTTTTTTTTTGTAATTATAATTTCTTTCAAGAGAAAAAAAATATATTCAGTAAAGTACTCTGTAATCTGTAGATATATTAAAAATATATATTTATACATTAGTAAAATTTAGATCGATTTGAAAATAAAAAATGTAAATATTTAAAAATATTTGGTACATTGCTTCAATTATTTTCTACCTAATATTTCTATCTGGTTTATAGAATTTTTGGTTTCAATATATTTTGACTATTAGTGTAAGTTTTTTATGATTCAATATTTTGCTTTAACGATTTTCAGGTTATTGTGCATTAGAAAGGTTCGCCAATTCATGCATGACAATATTGAAGTTAAGGATGGAATCATGGCAATATTGAAGTTAGGGATGGAATCATGGCAATATTGAAGTTAAGGATGGAATCATGACAATATTGAAGTTAAGGATGGAATCATGACAATATTGAAGTTAGAATCATGACAATATTGAAGTTAAGGATGGAATCATGACAATATTGAAGTTAAGGATGGAATCATGACAATATTGAAGTTAAGGATGGAATCATGACATTATTTGATAATTTTTACGCTTGTGCACGTGACCAGACTAGCCACCAGGTTGAACTTCTCTTCGATTTTTTTCATTAATTCATCTCTCTCATGTTAGTACAGAGCGTCCCATATCAAATTAGAATATCTTCAATCTTTAACGCCAAAATAAATCCTTAATATTCGAAAAACTTATCATTTTTCGCAAGAAAAGTCTTATATAAGCCTTATGTTATTTTTCAAAATGATTCATTCTAAATAAATTTTCTGATTAGTCCCAAAAATCGTAATTTAGACCCGTTCTCGGTCTGTAGATTCAGACTTTTTTATTATAAAAATGATTAATACTTTCATGTAAACAAGTTATATTTGTTTGAGGATAAAAATAATTAATACATACATGTAAAAAGTTCAGATTTGTTTTTTTGTTATGATGATAAGTCATAAGATCAGTGGAGGGGATATTGCGTATAGACAATGTAACTGTACCCAAACACAGGAAACTTCATAGATTTTTATTGCACCTTTTTAAAGTTCGCAGAAACCTGAAGAAAGTTAGAAAACCGACACAAATTATTTCCCTTCTACAGGGATCAAGAAATGTAAAACAAAAAAGAATGAAAGACAAAGAAGTTCTAAGTTCGTCGATCCATGAAGTCTATCTTTGTGACGTATTTACTGAAGAGAACAACAGTATAAATAATGTTAATGATGGGTATTAAATTATGTGACTTGATTGTAGTAATTATTGTGTGTTAGGGAGGTTAATCAAGTAATATAAACAGAAAAAGAAATAAAAATCCTTATTTTTAAAGTTTCAAAAATTAATCTTACCGAATCCAAATGTTGTGATCAAATACATAAATTAAAAACTTTTCGAGAAATTGTAATTATTTTTTCGATAAAAAAGTGAGTAACGGGAACAAAATATCAAATAAATAACATATTATTCTTTATTAAAAAAAGCAAGAGCAAAAATCAATAAAAGATCAACTATTCATGAATAAACACAAAACAAGAGAGCCATTTTGCCATTTCTTTATTTTTAAAACTAAATAATTTTAATTATACAAAGCAAAAATAAACCATAAATGGGAAAGTAACTGCTTTTTCTTGCTACAAAATCTGATTTTCTAACTATTATATCTTTGCAACCCGTCGTTTTAGACCTTTGATTTTTTAGACTGTAATTTCTGTATTATTAAGTTTGAAAAATATATATATGTATATATACATATATATGATTAATCTACTGATGATTGCCGCAACGCATAAAACATCGTGTATAGTAAAATTCTGAAATATATTAAAATGTTTAATTTAATTTAAATTGAAATATATTTGTTAAGTATGTACTTCTAAGATTAGATGATCTAAATTTAATCTTAAAATTTAGAGTACAATGAATATAAAAATAAGGTAAAATTATGCGACATCATCGAGACAACTTTGTTACCCCGAAGCTCCTCCGGTATGAGAAAAGCAGGTTTATTCGGTTACATATTAGAAATTCAAAATATTTTCTTCTTCTCAATAGCTCTTCAATTAAAGGACTTATGATTGAAAACATTTAAATCCGTGTTATTTACTTTAGTTTGGTGTTAACGGATAATATGGTTTTTAAACAGAAATTTCCCTTAGAGTTAATATCTGAGGACAGGTTTTAATATTTAGGGGATTCTCTTCTACTTTTAGAAAGCTGAGTTTAAACAGAGGAAACTGGATTTAACAAGTCTGTGCTGGATACAATTGAGATTGAAAATATATATTTAAGGGCCATTTGGGTACCTGTCTTACTTAACTAATTTTTAATTATAAAATTTCGTATTTTTAAAAAAGGTTTGAGCATGCCAATTATTTTTTTTTAAATGTTCGCTTTAAATTTTGATTATTACTTATAATCTAGACAATTTATAATCTAGACAATTTATTAATATATTAAAAGTACTATAGTATAGGTTATATGAAGTAATAGCAAGTAGGGACTAGGGATGGGCCGGCATTCTTTTATTTTTACAACATTTTTTAGCATATCATGTTTTTTTATTTGTACGTATTTAACAGAGATCGAAGTTAATTTTTGTTCCCGTTAAATTTATATTGAATGCTAATTGGGTAATCAAGCGTATTTTCCGATCGGTGAACAATCTCTTTGATCTATATTTGAATGCAATGTATTTTATGCACAATGTTTCAGGTTAGGTTTGGAACTTGATTCTAAATGTCAACAATTAATAATAAAAATTAAATTTTTTACATTTTTCTTCAGTTCAATAAAGTTTATGAGAAGAATCTGCTAGATTAAACTAGAGTTTACAAACACAAGTTTATACTTCTTGTGCGCAATTGAATTAATTTGCTTGTAATTCCGTAATAATTGCGCGGCGCACGAAATAAACGCAATAGTATTTCGTCCAACTTTCTTAGGTTTGTGGTTTAAATTTGTTGAGAATTTTCAATATAAATCTGATGGCACACCATGCACAATACATACACAATTATGCCCAATTCCACGAATACTTAATTTTTTCCCTTTTCGCAATTAAAGCGAAATTCCGCGCAATCCAAAGATGCAAATGAAAGCAATCATTGGGCGCAATTTTGCGCAACGAAATTCTGATTGGAAACTCACCATGAACCCAAACATTTTGTCCGTAATGTCGGCCTTACCGAGAGCATTTTAAAATCTCAAAACGTTGTTGAAAATTACGAAAACAGACACTGCATGGATATAAAAATTAGTGAGATATCATTATAGTAAATCTGTTCATAATTTGGAACAAAATATTCGTTCTTTCGCAAGGATTTCACTAATTATTTCGATAACAAAAAAAATGCTGTGGTTTTCCAACATAACCAATTCATTGGCGGATTTCCTTAATAGGTAAAAATTGTGTTTTTTCCGGAGTCCGAATTTAATGAATTTGAGCCGCGTCTCAAATCGGCTAAAACTGGTTTCCGTTGAGCGTCGGCTAAAATCTTGAAACATTGAATACAATTTCAAGTGAAACCAACCATATTTGAGCTGCGTCTCAAATTTAAGCTTTGGCTCAAATTCTTTAAATTGGGCCTCGGATCAGTTTTTTTATGTTATTGAATACAAACAAACGAAGCTAAATATTTGTTGGAAAGCCGTATTAAAACTATGTCAAAAATTGACTTACTATGTTAATCATGTCGAAGATAGAAAGATAAAGAAAACAACTTAGAAGATATTAGAAAATACTGACTAAATCGTTTAGAAGATTATTATATAGAAGTTAATTTTAAAAGCATGAGACGAAAGAAAATAAAATCCAATATTCGTATACTAAACACTACGACAAAATCATATTAGATCGTCAAATTGGTCTAAAAAACGTTTTTTGGGTCTAATAAATTTTTTTAAGAAGAAACATCATTTTGTAAATTTGAATAAGGTGTATGTAAAAATTTTCTTGCAGAAAATGTATTTTTCGAGTACATATGTTTTATTTGACGTTAAGCTTTGAGCTAATCTAATATGATATGGAGACACTAGCTGTACCTAACTAACGATGCAACTATTCCTGTTTGTCTATCCTGTAAATACAAAAGGATTAACTTCATTCCATAAATTATGCAATCAGTTCAGATAAAAAGTGGTATTCCTGTTTTTATAATAATAATAATAATAGTAATAATAATAATAATAATAACAACAACAATAACATTAATAACAATAATACCAATATAATAATAATACCAATTTAAATAATACTAATTACAGACAAATGTTATCAAAGTGTATGAATTGAATTATATGTAATTATTTGCCCTATATCAATTTCCTGAACACTCCCTTTAATATCAATGTTGTAGAGGATAGCGTTGGTATTCACTGCTTGTTTTGTCGGCTTATCTCAAGCCTGGCCTAGGGATGTAAAAAAAACTTTAATTAATTAAGTATCTAAAATTTCGTTTTCTCAGTTTTGCTTCCTTTTTTATTTTCAAATGTATTTTATTGAACTGCATTGTATTGCACTTTGTTGTACTTTCCTTAACTGGACTGCATTGTATTGCACTTTGTTGTACTTTCCTTAACTAAACTAAGTTCAATTACTGTACTTCTTTAAACCGTTCGAGTTTTTTAATGCACTTTTATGATTTTTTAAAACGTTAATATGACCTTTTCCTTTTTTGTCAAAGGGAGTGTTTGCGAAAAATGAAAGTGGGTATAGACTTCCGGCGAAACATACGCGCTTTTGATCGCTACTAATCTTACTTCTATCTGTTGCGTCTATAAGGAGAACATTGTAAAGTTGCAATATACCACTCGGATGGTAAAATAATTAATTTAATTACAAACAAATCATTCAGATATTGCAACCTAAAGTCATCGATTATTTTTCGATGCATTTGTATTTAGTTAATATTTAATATTCGTGTTGTATACAATGCACTTAAAATTCCGAAATAGTTGGCCGCCAGATGTGTCAGTTATCGACGCTTTGAATGATTACATGTGACAGAGACACCAGCGGAATAAAAGTTGTTTTAAGTGCATTGTATATGAAACAAATAACAAATATTATGAAATGTTAACTATATACGAATGCGTTGAAAAATAATCGATGACTTTAGGTTATAATATCTAAATGATTTGTTG